GCTGAAAGCTTTCAGTCTGGAGCAGCAAACCTTCCCAGATCCACCAGGTAGTGTCCATCACCCACACTCAGCGAGGTGGTAAATTCCTCATCGTCTTCAGCTGTACATGAACATATTTGTAATAATTACAACTTCCCTGCGTCGATGTCATTACTTCACTATACGAAAAACAATTTAAAGTTAACTCACCATTATTTTCTGACTCATCTTGACAAGATGCAGCTTCTGCTTTCTGCTCCTTGACATAACAGAAGTTTTAAGGGGAAAAAAAGAACAGATTTTGGAAATAACGCTAATTTTACGTCTTTTGGACTGATTAAATGTAAAAAAAAAAAAAAAAAAGAAAAAAAAATAGCCATTATACCGAATATACTCCATTCAATAAACTGGAGATATCTGAATGTGACCTTTAAAGTTGAAAAATGATAAAAAGTCTGTGTAAAAAAATTTGGTAACACTTTATTTGACAGGGTGTTTGTAAGACTGACATGGCACCGTCATAAGTGCCCTTTTAATGCAAAGTTGGCACTTTTAAAATGGCTTTCAATGCAACTGTTAGAGCAACTCATCGCATTAAAGTGTCATTATTTACCAAATAACACAAAAGTAAGACATTCATAAAGACTCCTTCATGTTCATGACAGCTAAGTTATGTCATATTTATGACAGTGTCATGTCAGTCTTATAAAGTGTTACCACGCAGGTTAAATCAGAAATAAAGATTAAAATCTGTCCACATAAGATAAATTCACTGATGACAGATACAAGGAACAGATAGTTAAATTATGGGATGCATAAACATAAACTTAACAGAATATCGCCCTGTATGTATAGGCGGGTTGAGACAACAGATTGATGTTTCAGAGGGAATGATCAGATTTACCTGTTCATGTTTTGAAGACCAATCAGAGGAAGACGCACTGATGTCCTGCATGGCCTCGTTTGAAGAACTCATCATGGATTCTTCTCCAAAACTCCCTGGGAAACAAACACAAAAGAAATGAGTCAGTCTAACACTGCTAGCTTTCTTAAATTTGGCATGATTAGTGAATTAATTACTAACCAGTACTGTTCTCCCACCAAGACTAAGTTTAAGAAGCCATTTCTGCTTTGGCCTGAGGATAAACATGAGGTAAAATACTTAAACACCTTAAGCACACTGGCTGAGTGGGCTTGGTGTGTTAAAATGAAATAGAAACGTCATAAAGCCGCGTCTTTAGCTGCCGCACGTATCGACAATAACAACAAAGATGGCGGGGTTTCTGACGCCCGCTCATTTACCTGAAAAGCTACAACTCGGCAATGAAACAGAGTCCCCTCAGTTATTAGCTACCGGAAGATGAAATGCAGCAGAAGCTAGGTTGTTGTTCCTCACTTCCGGCTCCAGCGAGTAAAGGGTTACTTCACTTTTTTTCTGTTTTACATACTCTGTGCTTGGCTATGGCTTCTTTTTTCTTAACTTTCTGATTTTTTTTTTACCATTACGTTATAAACAACTGTTTACTTACCTCGTCTCTCCTATGTTATCAAAATATTTTTGTGCGCTTGTTTGAGGCTTATTATTATAAATGACAAATGTCAAAACAAAAGAAGAAGCAATTCCGCCATCTACTGAACGCAGAGTGAACTGCAACATGACATTCAAAAGGGGGTGGAAATTATTCTCTATCTTTCAAAATAAACTGTTATTAAATAGTTACAAAAATTGGGAATCATTGAGTTTTCTCTTTTGTACTTTGTTTAAGCTGGAAAATAAAATTCAAAATCCCAACAAGTAAAAATTAAACTTTGTTAGCATTTTTTGCTAGCTAGCTCAAGATGACATCATTTCAAATTCCAACATCTAAGCATAAATGAAATGCACTATAAATAACAGCAACAGACTGGATGGAGTTTGTAAATTAATACCATTTTTCTTTCCTATGAAATATAAACACCCAGCTGTGCTACATACATAAGAAAAAGAGGATTATTTTGAGTCAAATTAAAGGTTAGCTTATATTTATCTGCACCATCACATTGGTTATTAACTTAAGGTGACAGAGCTGTAATCTATATTCTATATTTTAGAACGATTCACTTTTAACATCTTAACTAGAATTTCATGATATAATACCTAGGTAATTCAAACGATTAAGAATCACTTATGTTTTAGTGGTGTGCTCAATGTAATTTCTAACTTCAGATTCAAAACAGTGAAAGAAATTGTCTATTTTTAGCTTCAGCACATAAAAAAAGACAATAATGCATGTTGTTCTATAAAACATACTGCTGTCGGGTCCAAACAGCATATTTTTTTATTGCTCAGTGTTCTGCAAGGGTATAAGAAGTTTCTTTGCGTCTTTATTGTCCTTATGTACAAGTGTAAGTTACAAACTCACAGAGCAGCTAATGTGGAAACTATGCACACATGTATACCGTTAAAATAAATATAAAAATCAAAGGAAATAAGCCGTAAAAATTTCTTAAAAAACAGTTTTGTTTTCTCTTTTTTTGCTGAAATAAATCAAAATTCCTAAAACTCACACCAAAAAAATAAAAAATAAAAATTTGCACATACATTTTGATTAATCAATCCAGCCCCACTGGGCCCACACAGACATGCAGGTACATTATGGTGCATTCAGATTTTATCGTTTCGAACCGCGGGGCGATGTGTGTACTAAACATTCAACGACTTGCTGTGGTTTGGAACAGGTAAACCATCATCAATTTTTTAAAAAATGTTTTAAACAAAGGCTGCATTTTAGTTAAGTTCTTGTATTAGGATGTATGGGTTTGTTGCTTTAAATGCTGCAAAACTTTGCACTGAGGGGGAAAAAACAGACAAAAGAATATTAAAAGGGCAGAAATAGACAAACATACAACTGTGTGTGTGTGTGTATGCAAATATGATTAGAATCCATAAGAAAAAAACAAAACAGTCCAGTAACTATTCGGTACATAGAAAGAAGTTGTAGATATTACATTTGAGCCTGCATATGCATACAAACAAACAAGAAAAAAAAAAAAAAGAAATTCTCTCAAACTACACAAGAATGTTCTGAACTCGTCTGATATGAAACCGTTTCATGGCTGCAAATAAATGTCTGCATATGAAATTCAAATTTGATAAGAGTACGTAAAAATCAGTAATCTGTAAAACATTAACTCAAGCATCCATCCGGTTAACAGATCTGCATCTAAAACTCAAGACTTGATGCATAAGAAAAAGAAAACGAGCGAAAACGAGCTATGCTGTTTAGATCTTTAGTTTGTGACCTAAAGGTTAATATTTGTATCATGGCCGCCGACGAGGGAGAGAAGGGGCTCCTCAATTTTAGGTTCTTCACCTATTAGTCTAATATAATAATAATAATAATAATAAAAAATGCTAACTTCACCTGAGAATGCAAAGAGGTCTGTGAAAGACATTAACATGCGTGCAATTAAAACCGAAAAAGAAAACAAGCAACAATATACAAAATAGCTATATCTTTGTACATATATACTTAAAAATTACAGGTCTCTAGATACTTTCTAACTCTGCGTTTTAGCTAACGTGGCTGCACACACATGTAAAAGGAGACATGATGTACTTTAATCCAGACATGAAAGCGGCACTGCGGCCATCGCTGCGCATCTTGTAAAGTGCTCTGAAGTGTAAAGAGAGACAGAATCCAAAGTTATGTCATGTAAAGTTTTTGACTCGTGTCCCCGGCATGCACACTGCTGCAGACAGACGGGGCGGCTTGGTTCATCAGCTCTGCAGTGAGATTCAGAAAACTACAACACATCTGCCTGCACACTGACACACACACACTGACACACACACACACACATGCAGGGCCTTGCAAAAGATGTCATAACCTTGGTCTAACTAGAGCTGGGCGATATTTCTTAAAAATAAAATCCCCCCTTTTTTTTCTTTTTCTCATACCTAATCGATTTTTTTCTTGCTTTTTTTTTTCTTAAAAATAAAAAAGGAATTATAAAGAAAAAAATATTTTCAAAAAGTGGCTTTTATTTCGGTCATACCTTCTGAAAGGTCGTACGACGGTGCATCGAGGCGAAACGAGAATTTTTGTTTAACTTGGGGACTGCAGTCATAATATTAGACCAGGGGTGTCCAAAGTCGGTCCTGTAGGGCCGGCATCCTGCATGTTTTAGCACACCTGCATCAAATGATGGCTCTTTGGAGGTCTAAGGAGAACATTGACTTGCTGAGGAGGTTGTTGCTACCACCAGGGAGAGAACTGAAACAAGCAGGATGCCGGGCCTACAGGACCGACTTTGGACACCCCTGTATTAGAGGAATAAGGAGGCAATTTTACCAGAAGAATGTCTTAAAATTAATTAATAAAAAAAAAGAAATGGATCATCACCCAGCACTTTATGCACTTCTTTACGTTTTATTGGGAATTTTGTGATCAACGAGAATAAATAAAATGGTTCTAAATTGGAAAGTGAAAGCAAAATGGTTTCGCGAAGAAAAAAATCTGGCATGCAGGTGTATTCACCCCCACTTTTACAACGATCCTCTCTAAACATGGCCGCCACTTTGACTGACAGCCAGGAGGCCTGTGGTGACTCTGGAGGAGATGCAGAGACCAGCAGGTCGGGTGGAACAATCCGTCGCCGGGGCAACCTGTATTTCTGAACTAGACGAACTGAGCGTTTCGGGCTACGTGCAAAACCCAGAATCCCTCTCAGCTACATGGTGAGACATGGTGGTGACAGCATCATGCTGGGGGGGGATTCGTTAGCAGAAGACTCTTTGATGACTTTGATGAATGAAATTATGAACAGGCAGGAATTTAAGCTGTGTGACGCTCTTAGGGACCCAAAAACACAGGCAGGTGTACTTGATGTGAAACGGGGGTCAGGAAGGTTTTAGAGACAAGGGGTGGGGTGGTGCAACGAAACTGGAGAAAATCTAAGGGCTTTCGCAACGCAACGTCTACGCTTTACCAAAAGATGTGGCCGTCGGAACGTCTCAGAATTAAATCTGTTTTTTAAAAAAACTTACAAAATGACTGCTGGTGTGAAGAAACGAATCACTGTCTGAATTTAAAGATGGCATTTTAGAACGAGTAACTTCAAATACGAACACTTTCCACTGAGGTAGGATGAATCGACGGTGCTCCAGCACCAGCTCTGCAGCCATGAGGACGGGGAGGGTTAGGAGGAACGACTCGGCCACCTGCAGGGTGACGGATCCAGTCACCCTGCAGGTGGAACAATACTTGATCTTTGTTCTTGTGTGTTTAAGGGAAAAAAAAAATTAAAGCAATTTCCCGGTAACAAAGTTTCCTAATTGAATTTGATCTATGTTCCTTTTTTTCTGAATGCAAAAACAAGAAGTCCAACCATAGCAACAACGACTCTGCTGCCTGAACAGATGATGATGATGATGATGATGATGGAAGAGAGAAGAGGAAGACTGTAGGCTGGATCCTCAGAGGGGGGCGATCCAGCCGGCACGTTGCAGCGTCGATGACGTTTCATCAGAGTCCTGTGCGGTTGCGCGCGAGTCAACGCGCGCGCTCACTCCACCGCGAAGCCGCACGTCTCCTCGATTGCCGTCAGTAGCTTGTCGTACAGTTTGTCGTAGCTCTCGTAGGGAGGAATGTCGATCCGGTTGAAGCTGGAGAAGAACGGAGGGGAGAAGGCGTTCAGCACGGCATACTGCTGTAAAACTCTTTTCAGGGTTTTTCATGTTTCCTGTTAGCGAGTTCAGTTTCAGGATGACGGATATTTTTCAAGATGGCCACCGTTTTTGAGCCTTTTAAACCAATTATGTTACCCACTTTTATTTTGTCATAAAGGTGGATGGCCTTTATGTCACTTCATATGTTTTTGACTTTGGTCATTCAAATTATGTATGATTGTACACAAAAGTGATCTGTGTTAAAAAAAAAAAAAGGGACATTTAGGACAAAAATAAATTTTCTTTAACGCCATACTGTTAGCATATTGTTTTCAAAAAGCAAGCCTCTGGGAACATCTGTGTCACATCAGGTTGTATTTGCACATGAAAGGTTTTGCTAAAATATTCAATTATCTGCTCCACTAATTGGCATAAACAACTAAACCTGACTGGAAAATTTTTACTTCAATCATTTGAACAATGTAATAATTTTCAATGCTTCTCATATCTGAAGAAACAAAGCCATAACTGATGTACATGTTCAATCATGACAAACTGTAGAGATATGTTTTGGGATCATAAAATGTAATGTCTGCTCTCTGGCGCGCCTCACCAGGTGTGCGCTTTGGGCAGATTATTGGCGTTGGCATCAATCTGATGGATGGTGAAGAGTCGGGGTCCTGCTGCACCTGCAATGGAAACGTACAGCAGGACTGATGAGTTGTAGTGCAGACTACAACATGCACTATGCTCTGCACATATTGTTAAAACATTTTTTTTTTTTAAATAAAGTTCTGTCTACACAAGGGATTGCTGCACAGATCAGTGCTGTATATCGATCAGATGGGCGTCTTGAGATACTAACATCTTACCAACTTTCAGTTACAGTTTTGGTTTCACCACATTAAAATTAAAATCATCAGACCTGAATGCGACATTATGACTGGAAAGATCTGAATTTAATTTGGATGAATTGTACACGTTTGTAAAGTTCCTCCAGATGGAATTTCTTGTAATTTGGCCGATCTGACAACAAACCCTACAGTGGCCATGCCTGGCCAGCAGGTGGCGACAACGCTCACAAAACAGCTCGTGTTTTTCTCAACGCCTTTCAGTTTTTCTCATTTACTTTCTCGGTAAATTATTAAAACGTTTACTGAATCAATAAAGAAATCTCTTAAGAAGAAGTAGAACAAAAGCTAGCTGGGCGCTACACGCGGCTCCTGGCTTTCTGAAGCGATCTGCTGCAGAGCGGTGAGAGACGTTAAGCACCCTGTAAAGCCTTGAAGCCCTGCAGTGGGACTCTGGACGAGCCAGTGACGAACTGCAGCAGCCGGGCCCTCCTCTCCTCGTCGAACGACTCCACGGCTTTCCAGAACCACTTGACGATGTTGCTGTCGGGGGTGCAGTGCTTCAGCCGAGTGTTGGACTTCCAGTCGGCGATGTCGATCTTCCCCAGGCCGCACACGATCAGCTGAAAGCACAGACGTTTCGGTCGCCGTGAAACGGAGCGCGTTGAGACAAACTAAAGAGAGATGAATAACGAATGAGACGCTCTCTTAGGTGCTGCTGTACCTCTAATTCCTTCTCGTCGAAGGCCTTGAGCAGGTGCTGTGGGATGACCTCGTTGAAGCCTTTCTGGAGAGCCAGAAACTGAGCCTCGATGCCGTGGAGGAAACGCCAGTTCACGTAGAGCCTGCAGCAGACGAGTCCGGAGGAAAACAGCGTTCAGCACATTTCTCACACCAACACGGGGGAAACTGAAGACGTGGAGCTGCGCGCGGCTGTTCTGTACCTGACATACTCCTTCTTGGTGTCCTCCGTCACCGGGATGCTCTTCCCGTTGGGCTTCAGCTCATGTGGGATGATTTCTCCGTAAGCGTTGTGCTCCACGCAGAAGGTGTGGTCCAGGACCCCGGTGATGTCGTTGTCCCTGAGGAGCAGAGACTGTTTAGTACTCGGCGGACTGAACTTGGACAGAACCGCTCCGTCTCTATGCTGAGGAAACTGGATTTCACTGTTACGTAATCTCATGTCTGTCTGCAGGCTGCATTAGACGTTATCCAGTCACATTTGACATCAAACAGCCACTACCAACAAAATACCAATGAAATTATAGCCACATTGAATTGGGTTATAATTCAACTGACAAATACTTTGTTGATCCCAAAGGAAAACTAAATGTAACTCGATTATTCAAGTTTCTTCAGAGTTGCTGTAGATACTGATAACAGAGGGAAGGAATTATCTCCAGTAGCAGTCTGTGTTACAGTGAATCTGAAGAAGCCTCTGACTGAAGACTCTGTATAGTAGTATGCCAGGTTGTTGATTTTAAGAAGAGTCATTCTTTGCACCATCGTCTCCAGTTGTTCTGCAGCAGCACTCATAAAATATTTTATTATTAGAAAATATATTAAACCCATTAAAACTGATAGTAGACACATATTTAATAGGTTTAAAAATGGTTCTATTTATTTTAAGGGAAAGAAAACAGAAGCTACGACAGAATCTGGAGAAAACATTAGCAAACCGTTATTCCCACTTTTAATATTTTATTTCTATTATCTATGACTTTTATTTCATATTTTCAGGTAACTTGATACAATCATTCTAAATATTGTTTTAACAATGTTATTTTCTTCAAATAGATACTTTTGGTGCCGTGTTGTTAACATTTTGTGTAGATGAGTCTAGATTGACAAAGTGTTGAACTGTGAGCATCCATCCTTATTTTAAATTAATCTGAGTTATTGTTAGAGTTAAGCTGCATAATGTTTAAATTTATGGGTGATATTAAATGACTTCTTCATCATATTTACTCTCTGAATTTCCATGTTTAAAGGTGCTAAATGTACCAGAATCTCTCTGCTGTCCCTCCTCCAGTAGATACAGAAACATTTAACTCGGCTGCTCTAAGCAGGTTTTAATGAACTTTTTCAGTCTAAAATCTTAAAAGAGTTCAGTTCAAGTGAATCGGAACCTTTTAGTAAACTTGATTAAATTTGCATTTTAAATGACTTTTTATTTTATTTGGATTAGTTCTGAGCAGATCATTGTTGCAGTACATTAGCAGCTTTATTCCCACCTGTTTGTTTAACTGAAAACGATCTGCTGACAACGAGATCACCAGTTTGAATAATGGCACCAAATGCATCAATATTAAAATACATCACAATGGAGTAAGTATTTATCTTGTGTCACAAAGGCTTTTTTCCCTCTGCTGCCTTTCTCAGGGGAGAGGTTTCACTGACTCGGCACCAGAGGGCGCTACAGTTAAAACTGTTGATTTGTTTTTTTTTCTCCTCTTTTTTGGTAACCATTTCTATTTATTTTTTTTTCCAAACTCCAATGCATTTTTATTTACTTTTTAAACAATAAAATTAGAGAACATGGACAAATTAAAGCAGGAGAAAATCTAAATTAATAGAATTAAAATAAAACAAAACAACTGCTTTTAAAAGTAATGTCTGATCCTGGCAACAACATCAGACAGGAAGTGACCACACTCTTGTGTCCAAGTACTTCATCATGACTTTTTTCTTCTACTTCTCTTCATGAAAACTGAGTAGTAAGACTCAAACGTCCACATGTCCAGCAGTTAGTTTGACTATTGATCGATCGATCGATTAAGAAACACGTCTGTACTTACAAGATCCAGACGAGGCTGTTGTGGAGGTCGGGGTCGACGGACTCCATGTCGTCCAGCGTGATTGGTTTCCCAAGCAGCTGTTTGTAAAACGGCAACGTGAAGCCTCCGTCGATGTAGTGGCCGTGAAACACCGCCATGCCCATGATGCGGCCCACAAAGTGGAAGTACGACAGGTGTTCCTGCAGGTTACGAACACCGTTTACCTGGACTCTGATTGCTCCAGTAATGTCGCAAACGATGACGAAATCTAGCTCCTAGTCTTACAGTTTTGTGCATTCAAACAAGCCAATACATGGAGATAACGCTTACTGGGTTGACAGCAGAGTCTGGGTTAATCTGTAGAGTGTAGATGTCGTCTCTGGAGTACTGGAACAAGCCGTAGTACGGGTTCAACATCTCGTGCGACAGCAGGTACAACCACTCCCTGAAACACCGTTTGGGTCAGCTCCAAATCTTTACGTCAAATCTGTTAATGCGTCAACATGCGTCGTCAGACAGACACCTTACCGAGCAACTCCTCCATAGTCCAGTCCCTCTTCTCCTCTGAATTTTATCATCAGTCTTTTCCAAAGATCCTTCGGACGCATCTTCATCACTTGTCGATACGACTCCTGAGGGTCAGGACAGACAGCAGAACCGCACGGCCGAGTTAGCAAAACTTACAAACAAACAAGCCGCGTGAGACACAGGCTGACGTAACGTTGCTCTCAATCGTCTCACCTGGTTAAATAAAGGCTAAATGGAATATTGTTACAGGAAAGATTGACATTTTGAATTCTCTAAAGAACGCTGTAGGACCAACGCCGACCCTGAAAAGACCCAAATACTTATGGATGTCTGGATGAAGATGGCAACATTTAAAAATCCAGTTTTAGACTGGATAATAAACTTAATAATAAATTAAAATATGAAATACAAGCACAACAATTTATTTAAGGTTGCTACGCTTTTTCGTACTTTTACTAACTTTATTGGATAAGTTTGTGTGCACCATGAAGCAATTTGGCTCACATTGTACAAGCATTAAACATAAAAACTTTAGAGGACATGAAGAGTTCACAGTTCCAAAGTTTCCAGCTCATTTAGCCATTTTGTGGCCATTTATGTTGAATTCTTGATAATAAGTTCTTTCAGTTTAGTTTTTTTCTTCAAGCACTTGGAATAAACGTGAGCTAGTTTGTAAAGCTAAATCTGCACTAAATTATCATATTTGAAAATGTTGCGATCATTTTGGTAACTTTTAGACCGTCCCATTGATGAAGAGATCATGTCGGGTTTCCTGATGGAGACGTTTGATGTGACGACGGGAGGTTTTTGAACTTGTTGGAATAGATTAAGTTAACTTTCGTTTACGTCTACGTTTTAAGAAATTATTAGCTATTATTTTGTCTGAATTGTGCTAGAAATAAACAAAACATTTTTCAAACAATCAAAAACACTCCTTGTTGTTGCTTTTTCTTGGTATAATTTTGGTTTTAGAACTTAAAAAGGCAGCGGCGGCCCTTTTTAAGAAAAAATACAAATTTGAATGACTACATGTGTGGACTAAAGTACCAGAATGATAAAGGAAAGATGGAGAAACATACTGAGGGATAGAAAAACAGATGGACCAATAAACATGCATTGAACAAACCTTCAGACAGAGAACAAAGTCTGGAAAAGCAAATGTCTTTCATCATTCCTATTTTAATTTCCGGACTTTCCCAAACCGTGTTAGAACCCTGATTAATAGAAAGCCGCAAAAGCTGTAAGGAGCAACAATAGTGCCTATGACACCACCGTTTCCATCCATGCTGGTGGAAACCTGCAGCACCGGTTCATGCTTGAAAGCATCAGAAGAATCCACGGAGCAGGTTCGAGAACTTCCTGCTTCCACGTCAAAACGGGATGAAGTCATCGTTTTCAGAGCTCAGCTTGTAGTTAAGAACTTATGTTTGGCCATGAACGCTCGCCACTGCTGTCTTCACTTCGCTGCTCGCCCGGAGCCGCCCCCTCCCTCTCCGCCTCGCCCCCGTTACTTTAGCTGCTGAAATCACGCAGAAGGAATGCCTTTGCCTCAGCTGAACAAATGATTGGAAGAGCGAGAAAAAGAAAAAAAAAGAGTAATAGCTGCGCGGTGTTGTGAGAATCAAGAGTTTTCTGCTCGCTTTTGGAAATCAAGAGGCAGGAACTCATAAAAAGAACATCTTAAAAATGCATGACACACAGGGGTTTGCACAATTTTCCCACGGTAAAATTTTAACGTCTTCAAGGCAGGTTTTCCATGGAGATAAAAGCAATACAAATGAACTAAAGAGGGCAGTTTAAATTCACTACTATATATAATTTATTAGTTATTAATAAGATATTGTGATCGTATCCTACACTCTGCAGCGCAGACAAGATAAACTAAAATTTAACAAAATGTTATGCTTTGACATGTCTCTCTCAGACAGCCGGTCTGGAAAAGTTACAAAAATGATTCCCATTAAGTTTTCTGACGTTGAGCAAATAGAAATAATTTTAGTCATTCTGACCGACGTAAAACAAACTCAGTTTGGTCTGATTTAACTTCAAACAGGAAGAGAAATAATGGACTTATTTGTAAAAATGTCTTTCAGGTCTGATCTTGTAATTGTGTTATTTATATGAATCATTTTCATTTTGGTCTTTCCACATAATTGTTTCGGTTGGTCTGATGATGTAATTTTTGAATATTAACTCTCCTGTGGTTTTAAGATGCAGGGTCATTTGGCCTTCTTCAGTTTTTTATTCTGTAAAAACTGACCCCACATGCGCTTTTACGAGTTTTTTTTTGTGGGTGGTTTTGGGAACTGACGGTCTGACAAGACTTCCCCACTTTCCCGGTGTCTGACCGTGACATTTGCTGCGCTCTTCCTGAGTTAAATGACTGACATTTTGCTGCTTACATAGCCTTTTTAACATTTTACTCTAAAGTAAAAAGTAATTTCTTGGACGGCCACTTTTCACTGTTACTTCAGTAGAAGTATGCTGAAGTACTGCTGCTCTCACTCGAGTACAACTTGTGGCTCCTCTGTTGACATGGAACCATTCTCAAGAATTTCAAGCACCTGTACGATGATGCATAACGTAAAAATGCAGGTTGAATCACTGCTCCCTGGTTATATTTATGCGTTTATTAAACAAATTCAGTTTTAAAGACCACTATTAAAGGTCAGGCAAAGCCTGTAGCTGAAAATCAGCATTCCTAAGTGCTTGGTGTTTAAAAGACGGCAGTTTAGTTTTCTTTTTCTTCTTCGTTTTACCTCGAAGATCTCCTCCCGGCTGACCTCGATGCGGCAGTGGCCGGCTTGCGGCTGCTGCTGTGAGAGCTCCTGCCGGAGAATCTTCAGCTTCTGCACCAGGTCTCTCTTGTACTTGGGCACCGTCAGACACTCCGCCTCTTCGGGTAGCTGAGCGGGAGACAGAGCCTGCGGAGGGACTCCGGGACCACCCTGGTCCTTTAGCTGTGGTGGATGGCTGCCGGAGGAAATGAAGACAAATGAGGAAAGATACGATTGTTTTACTCTCCATAAAAAAAGAGAAAAAAAAAGTTGAAACCAAAGCTATTTCTTCCACTTGCGACATCAAAAGGTGAATGTAATTAGGAGAGCCGCGTTTTTTTCCTGTTTATCGCTCTAAATCCGGTGGATGTGATGGATTTGTGTGGACATGAAGAGAGGAGGGATGTGTAGCGCAGGGAATTCCCAGACCTCTTCCTCTCATGTGTGCTTCCAACCACAGACCGGTGGAGTTTTGTCAAAAATTCCCTCTCTGCCCTCAAACTCATCGCCGGTGTTAAAACAACAGGCCTTTAAGCCCTGCAGTGAATCTGATCCCGGGTCTGTGTGAGCAGGCGAGGCGCGCTACCAGACGCTCGGTAAATAGAGCCACCAGAAAAGACGCAGAAGGGGAAATAAACCGAATAAGCAGAAACACACAAGCTCCCTCACAGCGGCCTGGCGCTCCTCGCCAGCGCTACTTATAGGGTTGTGTTTTCTCAGCTCATCAGTATCCCGGATTTTTCTTCAAATTCAGCAACTGTTTTCCTTTTTATAAAAAAAAACAGATTTGTTTAAATCATTCTTCCAGCTGTTTCTGTCTCCACTCTGTGTCGAATACTTCCCGTCTACTAGAAACTTCAAAAAGAAAGAAAAATAAAAGGGGGAGGAGGGGGGGATGGTCGTCAAGGCGAATCCTTGAAGGTGATTTCAATGTCTTTGTTTTGCTTTAAGTAACACAAAAAAAGGGATTCAACAAAATATTTTGGATTCTTTAATTGGTTGGTGTTCCTTTTTCATGAATTCAGAGTCACAAATGGCTCTTTGGACCTTTGCACAATTAAAATAAACATATTAAGAAAAACAATAAATAAATAACAGCGCAGGAAGGAGTAAAAGTAAAATGGGTCTATATAATGACCTTCATAAATCTTATAAACAAAAAGTCAAATTTGAAAAAGGTTAATGTTATAAAAGGTAAGAATCTGTAGATTCTTAAACAGAGTAAAGAACCAACTAATGTTTTTAAATATACCTGTAATAATAACGCAGGTTTTAGCTGCTTTTTCAAATTATTGAAGAGTCGTTTTCACCCCGAGTGAAAGTCAGCGCAATCAAGGAATAATTGCACTGACTTTCCACTACAGGATGACACTAAAAAAAGCAGCAATGCTTTCTAAAACTAGTTTTCTTTTCATTTGGTTGGTACTTTTTTACACATAATTTTACAGAAATATTAACGTCCTGTAAAAGACGATGCCAAAGTGTTTCATCTTTATTTAAAAACATAAATAAAATTGTGTTTCTTTAAAAATAACAGATTCAAAAATAATAAGTTGTCTTCTCTTTCTCCAAAGGTAATGTCACATTTGTGGCTCTGAACGAGTTTTTCTCAGCTGGACTCAGGGTGAAAACGACTCTTTGGACTGTAAAGGCTGCAGACCAGCTGGAAGTTAACTTATTTTATCCTTCCAAACTTGTTCATTTGTGTTTATTTGTTCAGTAACTCTTAACGACTAAAAGTACACGTTTTGCTCATTTATTTGCAGACGGCGCAGTTTTAAAGTCCATTAAAGTGGCAATAAAAATAATTGCGAGAAACCAGTCCAGGGGAATCATACCATCAATATAACTGGGTGTAAAGTATTTACGCTGGCCTGTAACATTCCTTATTTCCACAGAGGACCTTAGTGCCATTGTCCATTTATCGACATCCAGGCAAACTAATCAGTATGCTATTGATTTTGGGCCGCATCGTCCAGCGATTTTACTATTTTCAACTAAACCCTCAGCTGTTCTGAGGAGGGAGAGAAAAGGACAAAAGCATGTTGGACAAAAATAAACCATAATCCAGTTTGGGGATTTACAAAACTCGAAGGGTTCAATTTCTTCTTCTGCTGAGAGAGAATCAGATCAAGTCTGGACAAAGGTGAGCTCTCTAGTGTTGGCCTGCTCCAGCCCACACTGTGGTGTCTGTGGTGAAACGCCTGGGTGGGCTTCAGAAAAACATATTCTTTCCTCCAGCAGGACGGCAGCCCTCATTTTCCTTTGAGAAGACGCTGAGCCAGCAGAGGACCTCTTTAGAAAAGGCTACTGTCCTCCGCCGGGAGGGGAGAATCGGCGCTGCAGTCGGCCAGACAGCAGGCAGCGAACCAAGTGTGATAGATGATGGAGGAGAGGCCCTGTGAGGCGGGAGAACACAGTCCTCCACCATTGCCAGCGCTTTGGGTCTCCAGCTCAGTGGGTTTAAAAGTAGCCTATGTATCTATTTGGGCTCCCCGGGCTACATGGCTGCAGTGTTTTCACTACTGTATCCCCTGTATAATCAAGTCCACTGCTATTTATTTCCTTGGCAGACGCCGGAGCTTCTCTCATGTTAAAGAAAGGGTAAGGCTACAGCGCAGCAGTCTTGAAAACCACTTTAGCAAAGCAAGGAAAGATGCCCTAAAACAAAGTAGAAGGACTTTGTGTCGATTATAAGACTCAGGAACCATGTAATAAAACAAAACTTTAACGAACAGGTTATTTTGAGGGGATAGCATTAAAGTTCATCCTGAGTTAGTTCCCAAATATGATGGCAAAAGCAGAAAACATAAAACCAAAAAGCCAAGTCATACTGCAAAAGCTACTTGAAACTGGGACTGGAACTAATGATTATTTTAGTAGTCGATTATTCTGTCTGTTATTCTGACAATTAACTGGTTATTCTGACGATTAATCGATTATTCAGACGATTAATTGGTTAAAAATTGGCACATTCTGCTGATTTTTTATTTAGCCACTTAATTGTACAATATTAGAAATACATTAAAAGATCCAAATAAGTATTTTCAATATCTTTTTGAAATGAGAAAATAAGCAACAACAAAAAAAATTAGGAGAAATAATTAATTGGACAGCAAAAGATGCTTAAACAGAGATTTAATTTTTATTTTTTATTTTTACAGAATTTGAACCAAATGAAGCTAAAACTACAACTTGAGGAGTTCTGGGTAAAACATATCTGATGACAGGCTTTTTTTATTTTATCTTAAATGCAAATTAAGACTTTTTTGTAAAGTCTTGGCTTAATTACTTTTCTGATCGTTTTGTTCTTTCATCAAATGGCAGCACTTTAGAGTCTGCATACTCCAATTAGCGATCAAATACTGAATTAGGTGATGATAATTTCAACAATCAATTAATGACAATTAATCTGATTAATTGTTTCAGCCCTAATAAAACATAAGAAAACTGTCTTGAATTCAAAATGGCTGATAGTTTTCAGTAAACGCTGGTTGAGGCGGATGGAAAAACATTGTGAAGATTCGCCTGAACTGAATGGCCTGCAGCTGAACCTGCAGAGTTGTGATACGCCTTGATCCTCTTAGTTTATCTGCACTGCGTCTTTACAAAGACTGCATGATAACGAGAGCTCATCTGCATGTGGCTCCTTTCACACATTCGTTGAAAAGTGCCATGATGGCTGGCTGACTAAAGCGGTGTGAAAGCCACAGCAGCTGCACTCTAGAGACCAGAGAGTCAACAGGAGCCTTTAGGAGAACCTTCAGACTCTCACCTCTCTACCGTACAGCAGAAAATACCCAGGAAATGCCTCAGACATGCCAATGAAAAAACTGACCTCTAATATTTTCTCAAAACAGCAAATTACTTCAGAAATAAAAACAAGAGAAACTGCAGGACAGGAGAAGAAGACTTACTGTGATGAACAAAGTGTCTACTGAGTTCAACAGGTCTGCTGTGTGAACAGCAAGAAACGATAAAGATTTGCAAATCAGTCAGTCACAGATATGACAGCACCTGCTGTAAGTCAACAGAAATCCAGTGGATATCATACTGTCAGCAACAAGAGGAAACATTCAACTTGTGGACTTCAGGGTGCTGCACCTTCACATATGCAGCACTTTGCACAAGTTTCAATTATTTTATTGGGACACGTTGTGACACGTTCAAAGATTGAGGCTAAATACAATGTGACAAAATGTGACAAACGTAAAGATGTGTAGATATGTTTGAGGGGCACTGTAAAAGTACAATCCCTTTATCACAGCAACAAAAACCTGAATTTATCCGACTTTGTAGAGCTAATTTCCTGGTGTTTTCAGTCACAAGTCTTAGACCTCCGTGAATTTGTTTTGTCAACCCAACAGTTGGTGTTTGCACTCGTCCTTCACAGGTTAAATCCGACACACACACACACGCACACACACACATATATGCTTGCTGTTCACACACACACACACATATACATATATATATATATATATATATATATATATATATATTGGACCAAACATACTCAACATTTCTTAAAACATCAGTGCAAATATTGATGTACATGTCAGGAAGATTTACAGCTTGGTTGGGAAAACACCGAGCCACTGATGCCCATCTAAAAATACCCTCTCCAAACACTGATGTAATCTCTCAAGCAGATTTTTTCTGCCGGTGCAAAAGAAGGGAGCAGAGTATGTGAGAGATAGTGTGGTACACCACAGCCGTGCAGATGTGTCTGACTGTCTGACAATTCAAGGCCTTCACCATCTCAGGTAAAAGGCAACAGTCGTAGTCAGATCTAGAGCAGCAGAGAGCCGAGGTGCAAATTGTGCAAAATGTCAGCTCAGTTCGTAAATGCACAATCTGTTCATCTTGCAGACAAAACAAAAGCTTTCTGTTTGGAGGGTTGTATGAAAAATGTCAAAAACAAAAGCCGTGTAAAAATGTGTGGCATTTTAGCAATGGAAGGATAGACGCAACTTCTGTGCAGTTTTTATGCCAAAGTGGAATAAAACATATTTGAAAAACACAATAAAGTTATTTTCTCAGCTGCCATTTTATGAGTCTAGATGAAGTAAATGGTCATTAGAGAATCTGAAAATTATGGAAACTGAAATTATGAGAAAGTTAAACAGTTTTATAGGAAAAAATTACATATCTTCACAAAAAAAAAAAAATTCTAAATGAGAGTTTGTAAATAGAGACGATAGCAACGGGGTTTAGGTATTTAAATAGGATTTTTTAAATTTGTTTTTGGTTTATCCAAAGCAACTCATATAGTTATAGTTAAATGTAAAAAACAAAATCTAAGTTTCCTTTTCAAACCACCACAAGATGACATCATAATATAACCCTGTTAAACATCAAGTATATTTCTCCAAACCTATTTGGTAAATTGTGCATGAAAACAAAACAAAAAAAGCTTTAAGAAGAGGTTTTTTTTAATAAACACTCAAAAATAGCATTTGAGGGTTGACTCAAACTCAAACACATCTCTTCTGTCTTTGTGGGTCCTGTGTTTAGTGCCATGGCCTTTGTCGCTTAATCTGTAAATCATTTAACCGCATGGTGAGCAGACAGTCCAGGTGTAGTGCATTTTGGAAAAGGAGAAAAAAAAGGGGGGGAATACTGAATGTTTGGTGATTGGGATCAGATTCTTTCCATTCGGAGAAAACAAATCCTCATTAAGGCTTTAATGGTTTGATCACAGCCTCTGAAACGTGAAGAGGAATAAATGCTCTGAAGCAGCAACCAATGACATAGTAACGACCAATAACTAACACCTGGCAATAATTTAATACTTATTTTTTAAACCGAAATACTCATTACCAGTAACTGTGTAAAACAATTAGGTCATATGACCATGGTTCACCTTTAGGCCGCGCACTGTGAGCGTCCATCTTTTTGAGACTAGAAGAGACAGAGTGGCACAATAGCGGCATCTTTTTCCTGCCTAGTGATAAGTACTGTAATCTTATATTCTGGTGTGAATTAAAAACAAAATCCAATCAACAGGCGGAAGAGATTTTAGTTGAAAGGCGTAAAACCAGAGAGCATTTAGAGGAGCCATAACCCACAGATCAGGAGAGGAGGAGGAGGTTTGACTGGGTGCACAGGCTCGTCTGCTTCACCAGTTCATACGTTCAGAACTTTCCCTTAATTTGTGTGTCGGCATATGGATGTGTGTGCAATATGTGTAAATATTAAATTTATTTATTTTAAAGTATTTATCTTGCATAAAATCCCAGCTAAAGAAATAGCAAAAATATGCAAAACAAAACAAAAGAGGGCTTTTACAATGTCAGTGATGTTTTATACATTTTTTTTTTAAAAGCACATTTAAAAGTAGGGCTGAAACGATTAATCGTGATGAATCAATTACTGAAATAATCATCAACTAAACGAGTACCACCCTCAGAGCAGGAATTACGTAAAAACTGTACAAAAATACATCCACATTGCATTAAAAAACATCTTTAAATATATTCTACCCTGAACACCAATAGTGGTAGCTCCAGCTTCACCTAAAGGAATGACATGTTATTGCATTTCAGGAGATAAGATGTTTATTTTCTGACATAAAAAAGAACCAATTTGTTAATTAGCATCTATTAATGCATTTTCAATATTATATAAAAAGGGTTAAATGAAAAATCTGCAGAATGTGCCATTTTTTTTGTGTGATTAATCGTTTTACCGTCAAAATAATCAACAGAATAATCAATTCCTAACTGATCGTTAGTCGCAGGCCTAGTAAAAAGTGACATTACAAATCCAAATTGATTAATCCTGACCAAACTTTTAAAAGTTTCATATGGACTGAATCTATCCTGTACCAGTATGGAGTCAGACAAGCAGCTAATGGTGGCTGCAGGCAGCGAGGCTGAGCTTCAGCTCACATCGAGAGTCTTTTCAGACACATATGGATGTGATTTGACCAAATGACCAGATGCTGATTTCCCAAACATGTTTATCCTGCCAGACACAAAGCTCCAACAGAGATTCTGCACCAAAAGAGCAAACCTGGAAAAACCTCTGAGTCACAAAAGGCACAAGGGCCTCCCAGACAGCCAAAACACTTCCTCTAATTTACATTATCAGACATGAAAAGCAAATATCCCTTTTCACATTTAACTCCACTGGAAGCTGTTATGCTGACGAGCGTTTTGCGTGGATACTTGCTGAAGATATAAACCGACAGTTCCAGAAAACAGTCATGTAGCCTTCCAGGCCATGTGGACGTTTGTACAGGTGTATAATTTATTATCTACTATGAGTAGCAATTAGTCACATTTTTCAGAGTACAAATAATGTGCCTGTGCTTTAGCATTTCTCACCGTTTAAGGGACATTTTTCCAACAAAAAAAAACACTACAATGTGAGGACCGGCTGCTCCTTATGAGACCCAAAACCCCATAAGAAGAAGTGCTGCATGAGGGTTAGACTAAAGAAATTGCTAAAAAATGAATGGAAATCGATGAAAAATCTTTGCAAAGATAGAAAGATGTAAAAATGCGTGTATGCAGGTTACCTGAGGTTAGTGTTTTGGCTGTCCGGGGCCACGCGGGAACCATTTGAACTCGGGCTGCTGAAGAAAACAGGAGGACAGAAAGGGAGGGAGAAAAAGGAGAAAAAAAACAAAGGAGGAGAGAAAGTTAAAAGGCACCCAAAAAAAAAACACAGGCGAACGACACGAGTGAAGAATAAGGATGGGTTTAAAAAGAACAAACAGAAAAACAGATGTGGCAGAGAGGAAAATTAATAAGGAGGGCAGGTTCAAAGAAAATAAACCAGACAAAAAATATACAAGGAAGAGGAGAGAGACAAATGGGAAGATGAAAGTGGGTGAGAAGAAAACATGGACACGATGACATGGATAAAAAGATGGAAAGACAATCAGCAGGGAGATTTGAAGTTGGAGGAAGAGAAAAACAACAAAAAAAATGAAATTAGATAAGGGCAAAGGAGCAATCAGTGCTAAAATCACATTATTTATGATTCAAACTGGAAATCATTGATTGAAAAGAACTTTACAATCAGATTATATAAAATGTAACCAAGTCTCTTAAAGTTGCAATAAGACTTTCCTAAGGGAAACCATTGGTGTCAACATTTGTTTAGTGTGAATACAAAAACAGAGCAGATTGCTGAATAGATTCAGAAAGACTGTAATCAGAAACAGTCGGTTCAAATAATAAATGAAAGTAGTTTAAGAAAAATCTGTTTCCAAATGCATCGAGATGCAGACATCAATGATTTTGACTCAATTAACATTTGTCACAACTCTATAGCAGTGATACTAATTTACAACCTCATTATGATTATCGCAGAAGGTTGAAGTCTGAAGCGCACTGACAGTTTATGTCGAGTATCGCATGAAAAAACAAAATCACTGGTATAAAATCTATGTCATTTGGAAGATGGGTGACATTCAGAGGAAATCTTTCAAAACAACAACCAAGAGGAATTATATTGGACATTTCAGCCAAAGTAAAACCGCTCACCTTTCCTGCTGCCAAAACCAGAAGCCTAAGTTAACAAGCTTTAGCATTACTGGCTTGTTAGCATAGCTAGTTGTTAATAATGCTAACAACTATCATTACAAGTTGTGAGCAGCGAGTAATACTAACAACTAGTAATGCTAGTTAGCAAGTAGTGCTAACTAGTTTGTTAGTAACGCTAACAAATGGTTTGTTTCTGCATGTTTCACCACCTCAAATTTAAGACATTTTAAGATTATTATGAATGAAATTTAAGACCTGTATAACACCAGTAATGTAGTAAAGAAAACTGAATATTCTATATAGTAAGGCCATATTTTTATTTATTTATTTTTTTGAGAATGAATATAGTATCATACAGGTTGGGAAAAGAAGTGAGCCAGTGGCAAAGTCAAATGTCGTCCAATGATGGACGCCAAAAAGCAAGCTAGCTAGAAAGGGTTTTGTAGGGACTAGTTAGCAGTAGCCTCAACCGCCTCGAGTCACGGAAGATGTCTGTGCGTGACTCGAGCTTTAAACTAAACAGAGTATAGAAGGTCAAATAGTCCTACCAATCTGTGATTAACACATTTAATGTCAACTTACATATTTTCCAATAAATTTAAGATAATTTAAGGCTTTATTTTATTTCTACATGCATGAATTAAAGACTTTTTAAGGATGTGCAGACACCCTGATACAGGCATTTCTCAAACTGGGACTCTTGCATTGACCTCAAATGTTCCGTCATCAGAGCCTGACAAAGCTACGACCGCACTCACTTGAGCACCAGATGCAGGTTAGCAGACAGTCGTGGATCTGTGAACTGTGTTGTTCGATTGTTGTGGTCAACAAAGTAGACGCGGCCAGTGGCGGTGTTCCTGATCTCCCAGCCTGGAGGCAGTGGTCCCAGCTCCTCACAGTTCACATTGCTTAAGTCCCTAACAGGAAAAGAAAAACAGAAAGAAAGCATACATGCTGACATCTTGAAACCGGAAGGCAAATGTAAAAAGGATAAACTTCATAAGACACATAAATAAGGTGCAATCATCTTAGTCTTTCTTCCTAATTCTTCCCACTCTCGTTCTGCTCTTCATCCTTGAAACTCCAATCTGGGATAATAATGTGGCTGTTGCCTTTGTGTGTGAAGTGAGGACACATTAGTCAGGAATGAAACGCTGGTTTTCTTTCCCTCATCACAAATACCAAATCTTTTCAGCAGCTCCGTCTAAAATGACTGAACCCAGATGTTGTTGCTGTGGGTTGGACGTCGTCCTCCTGCTCAGCCACGGCCAAAAATGCAGAGAAACGGCCCGGCGTGTAATGTTTAGGGAATTGGGTAACAAACTCTAAAGTGTTAGCGAAACAGCATGACAGAATCCGCCGTCTCATTCCACAACGATCCAAAAAAAAAAACAAAAAAACAGAAACAAAAAAAACATGCTGATCCAACTTTAAACAATTGGCCTGGCTGGCCAAGATCTGAGCCTAAAGTTTGACTAAACGTCTGTTTCTGAAAGCAAAACAGCAAGAAGAGGAAAACGTACACCTGCTGAAGGCAAAGGCCGCTTCTTCTTGAGTCTGACATTTTAAAGCCACAGAGGTCGGCTCTTTAGTCAAACATGTTTTTGGCTGAATTCGACTGTGTGATTGGACTCAACTGGAATGAACTGAATTAGTTTGAATTTCTGCTGGGCCAGATTTCATTCAGGTGGATGTGTATTGGGTCTGTTTAATTTGTGTCTTCGGACGGCTCCTGCTGTACAAACAACATGCTCTAAATTACACAAACAGAAATAAACAAGGCTGAAGGAGGTACCTGGGGACTCGGGGGTCGTGCCAGGTGCTGACTCCAGTCTGAGTGTGAAGGAAATACACCTGGCCCTGCTGGGTGGTTCTTTGTTCTGAAACAGAAATCAATTTGATTAGAACCTTTAAAAAAATTAAAAATCCAAACAATAAGTTGAGCTTATTAATAAGGCTCTGCTGGCCAAACATGGAACAGGCAACTTGTCCATGTTGTGAATGAAGTCTATTATTTAGATTTCATTCACTTACGACTATGTACTCGTAATATTACGACTTTATTATTATAATTTCACTATTATTTTTCATTTTCTTGGCCGTAACGCTCTGTCATAATTTCTATCATTAAATCTGTATTACTTTTTCTCTGAGTTTTAGCAGCACACAGATTATAAATGGCACTTTGAGTAAATATGGCATTGTGACTGCAACACTGAAACAAGTTGCCTGCAACAATCTTGAAATGATAACTGCGACTCCGTTTATTACGCAGCTCAGACCGTTTTTATTTCTCCTCCTTTCGCAGTTTAAGACAGAATCTTAAATGTTCGGATTAAAGCATTTTAGCAATATGTGATTAAAGAGAGCAACCGATTTAACTTGAATTTAAACTTACTGGGAATTGGCTGCCAATATGTTTGTGCGAATAATTTGCATAAAACATCTAAAAACGTAGAAATCAGTGTTAACAGGTCAAAACTCCAGACAGATTTCTCCTTGGCAGAAATAGTACCTGCTGCCACTACTGTACTCAAAAGCTGATCCATCACAACAAACCCCCCGCCCAGCTTCCTGCTGCCTCGCTCCTTTTTCCCCTTCATTGCCTCTGTTTCTGTCTGGCCACTCCCAGCGAGCGGTTCAGAGAGTTCAGCCGAGGAAGAGCCGCTCTGAAGCTGCCGGGCATCAGTGACTCACTTTGCCCGACCTCGACCAGCCTCACTGGACACACGGGGACCTTTCAAAGGAGACACAGTGCCCAGCAGTGTCATTCTGAATCACTGACATGTAGAACGCCGGGGCTTTTTAAATCGTCTCTGAGGGCTTTGTGGTTGGGACTGTGGATGAATCCTAAAAGTACACTTTTTCTGACGGCAAAAAAAAAAAACTTTCAAAGTCGCCAATTAAGTACACTTCGCAGTGTGGTCATTTTTCCAGTGTATTGCTGAACAATGGCAAGCTCTGAATTTTTTTGCAGAGAAAGGAGAAACGGCGAAAGTTTAAAAGTTGATGAAAACGTCAAACTACTTTCTTTTACAGTTTTGTTGAAACATCAGACCTTTCATAGCATTTCAGTCTGTCACTTCCTAAAACAGATATTTTAAAAATCCAAATGAGTCATCTTGAACTTGAGTGGGCGTTTGGTGACTTTGTGTCAAATGAAGAACTTCTTTGCGTTTATATTTTTTTTAGGAGTCGGTGTGAAATCTGAGCTGTTACCCGGTAAGATCAGGGATGAATATATCATCACATACCTCTGATGAAAAACTACACGAGATAAAAACCTAATAAGAGGAAACAAGCCTGTATGACCTCCAGAATAAATGCTTCTGAAGTCTGGTTTAAAGATTAAGTTATGGTCCGTTGTCCTCTGTCAACTCACCCACCCGTCTGCCATGAATGTCGTCACAAAACGAGGTTTGTGGAGATTGAATTTAAGCCCAGCTGGCAAGCAAAGTAACAAATCTTGATCTTAGAAAAAAGCAAATGTCCCACTTAATCTCAGCGTTCGGTGCAATAGTAGGAAGCTTTGTAGCGGTTAGGGAGGTGTCTGGATAAATCCTTAATGAGTTTTGTAACATCCTAAGAAGGTAGGAGCAATGTCGCAATGATTAAAATAGTTGGATTTAGTATTTAAACCTAAACCATCACAATACAGACTTTACCAATTGTCATAGAAAGTAGGTCAGACACAGGATAGAATAAGAGACCATAAGCAGCAGTTCACACCAAATGAATGCAGGATTAGCAGGTAATAGTGATGCACCAGAGTTTGAGGACCCAGCTACTTGAAGTAGGAGCGCTGAAATACGCTAATGTTCACGAAATAGAATACTTACAGAAAGACTTCTGTATGTTTATTCTATTTCCTCAATACTGTGTGTTAATCTTCAAGTCCTACACCTGCAGCTTTACTAACTTTAAAAAAATAATAATGTAAAACTGAACCAAAGCCTTCCAATTCCAATTGGGAACAGTGACGCACTTCAGCAAATCTTCCAGATATTCTGATCCGGCAGAAAGCTAAGCCAGTGACGAGTGGGCAGGTGTTCGGTGGAGCCAGTCTGCTTCTCACCGTAGCCCTCGGGCAGATCGGGCGGCGTATGCAGGTGCGTTCGACTCATGTAGTTCCGATGCCGCTGCGATCGGACCCGCCGCTCCTGGATGCGCTGTTCGCCCGGAGGTCCGCTGGCCACGGCCCCGTTAACGGGAGTCATCACCGGCGTGTTTTCGTCTACCACGCAGCTCAGCGGACGCCCGGACGGGCTAGAGTACTCCGACGCCGGCCTGGAAATGAGCAGAGAGCGTGAGTGATTCTGGACACTGGATTAACATACTTCCTGAAACGTGCGAAATTATTTTAGCAAATGCAAAAAAACAGAAAGGTTTTAAAAGCATGGAGGGGTTATCAGCGGACGTTACGCTGCGTCAGCAACCACTGTTCGGTGCATGTCGTCTGCAGACAGAAAGCAGGATTATCCTAACTATTTAAACTATTTACAATTAGGCTAATAAAATTATTTACAACACACTGTCGCTACATGCCTATTTTCAATGTGCTGCATGGTTCCCACAGGTGATTTTTCCTCATCATTGATCCACTCGCCTGCAGACATCGTCAGTTTGGAAGCATAACTTATTTTTATGACGCTGTGATAAATGGTTGCTGACAGAATACTAAAAACTAATATAATGTTACCACAGCAGTACAATGGTGGGTAACCATGGTAACCGGTGGCAGTTCAAAGGCAGGTTGGCGCTTTCTGCAGACAGGTTGTGTGCGCCACCCATCGTGTTTACAAACAAATTATGCTTCCATATATTACAGCCATAAGTGGCAGACTGATTTCTCTTATATTTTTTAAAATATACATGAATCATAGTAAATTTATAAAACAACTTGGGTTTTTACTTTTCAATAAAAGTTGCCTATATTTGGTTTTTATTGCTCAGAATTAACAAAAAAGACATTTTATTTTCCGTTGAGACCTTTAAAAACTCTCAAAGTGGATCCTTTTCTTTTATAGTTTTGGATCGACAATAATTTACACACCCTTTTCAACAATAACAAAAAAAATACTATTTTACTCATTAAATTAAAGTATTGCAACTTGCTTTATAGTTGAGAAGGTTAAAAATAAGTCAGTATTTTTG